AAAGAGCCTGCCTTCTCTCAGTTCTTCCATCCCTCCATCTTGGTGCCTTCTAGTGCTTCCTCTCTCCTCGCTACCTGTTTGTGCCTTCACCCATCCCTTTTTCTTCCACTTTCTCTCCCCCTGACTCCTCCAGCCCCATGTATCTTGCTTCCACTTACGTCCCCCTCCCCACCACCTACCCCTGCCTGCTCCCCTGCTGCACTCACCGCACAGCCGTCCATCACAGCTTTGATGTAGGGGCTGGTGTCGTAGCTGAGCTCCTCCTCGTTGGCAGCCAGGAAGCGGAGGGCACGCTGGTGGTCCCCAGAGGTGGTGCTGTGCCAGGCCACCGAGCGGTGACAGTGGTAGGTGAAGTTCTGGCGGGCAGAGATGCTGAGGAGCCGTAGGAAGGTCAGCTGCACCACGCCGAGGGGCTGGCTCTCCGAGTCCGTGTAGGAGAACTGTGGGAGCAGGAGACGAGTTAACGCGGGCTGACAGCCAGAAGCGTGTGAAAAGTGGAGCTGGAGGGGGTCTGCTGGGATCTAGACCCCCCTGGAGGAGGTGGCTGGGGAAGGGGAGATGGTCAGAAGGGCTGACAGGTTCAAGTTCGGGTGGGGGACATTTCTCTTTCTCCTTAGAAGCAGAGGAAAAGAGGCATCCAGCTGCCCCCGAGACAGCACCAAGGGACACGCTGAGGGCGTTACAGGAGAGGGCAACAAGGGTGTAAGTTGGAGTGCAGGCAGGACGCCTGGGAAAGGCAGGGGGGGCGTGCCAGGGGCTCCCGTGGGAGGGCGTGTGGGAGCCACACGCGGGCAGGTGTTCTCAGACCACATCCTTCCTGGAAGAGGAGGGAGACGACCTGCAGGGAACACATCCCCGGGGCCTCACCCGTCAGTGCCGCAGGGGGCTCAGCCCCCCCCAGCGAGCCGGCAGCATTCTTACCCTGCTGCCCTCCTGGAACTGACTGAACCACTGCTGGGGCACCTCCTTCTCCCACGCTGACATCTTCACCTGGAAGAGGAAGAACCGTAAGCGAGGTGGGGAGCACCCCATGCCGCCCTCTTCTCGCGGCCGATCCCCACCACCCTGCCTCCCGAGGCTGCGCTGGGACCCTGCGTGCCGAGCTGCCCCCCCCCCACTCTCTCACCTCCCGTATGTACGCGCTCCGCCCTCTTCTCGCGGCCGATCCCCACCACCCTGCCTCCCGAGGCTGCGCTGGGACCCTGCGTGCCGAGCTGCCCCCCCCCACTTCTCTCACCTCCTGTATGTCCTTGCTGGGAAAGACACAGGTCTCCCCGCCTGCTGTGAAGTTGCAGTAAACCTTGAAAGAATCTCGGGCGCAGCCCTGGTTGGGGTCAATCCAGTACTCGCCTGCACAGGGAGGAGAGGGGTCAGCGCACGGGGTGGTGTTGCTGCGCTAACCGCCATCCTTTCCCCGCCCGACGCCGGCGCGGCTCACCATCAGGCAGGCCCGGGTGGCTGAGCTGCAGGTCCTGGCAGGTGCGGGCAGGGTTGTCCCGGGTGCCCATGGGGCGCCGCAGCCCCTCGATCTCCTGCTTGAGGGAGTTGAGGGAGCCGAAGATCTCCTCCATGCCGTCAGCGTAGTCACGAGACGCCTGGTCGGCGGCCGCTCTCTCTCCGTCCTCACCCTCCTCCTCATCCACCAACTTGCTGGCATCGATGGAGCGCTTGCTCTTCTTGGGCAGCTGGATTGGCAGGGGCTGGATCACCTCCCCGGGGGGGCCCTGTGGCAGGTACAGCATTGTCAGCACCCGCTCCCCAGGGCCCCAAACCACCCTGTGCTCAGGCTTTGAGGTAGGCGACATCCCTCTGCATCCATTCCTGGATGTCATTTTACCTACCGAGGAGCTGTTCCTACATCCCCCGCCCCGTGTCATCCCTTCCCTGGCACCAACGCTTGAGCCACTCACCGGGTGTCCAGGGGGTCCCGGGGGTCCACGTTCACCTTTGGGTCCTGCTTGGCCCTAGAGAAAGAGACATTCACAGATGTCAGCCTTGGGCAGGACTGAAGGTGGTGGCAGGGTGGGGGCACCGGCTTGGCGCTTACCATGGCTCCCTTGGCACCTTTGGGACCAGCTGGACCCTGCAAAGCAAGACCAGGTCTGTCAGTGACTAGGGCTGGCATGGTGGGGTGGG